GGCTCTCCAGCTTTTCTTAAAATGGAAGAAAATACACCCTCAACTCCTGAATGTGTAAAAAAAGAAAATCTGCACATATGCACACATATGTGTCCACACCAAGTCCAGACCATTGTCACAAAAAAAGAAAAAAAAAGAGAGTATTTTTCCATTACACAGGTAGCACATATACAAACCATTTCTCTGTGATATGTGTGTTTTATGGCCATGAAGATGAAAAACGGTCAAAATTCTGCCCTAAATTAAACAAATTGATTCCCATCTTCACCCCTTTACCAAAATAATTTACTAAGGCTTAAGAAGCAAGTAGACTCAGGGCTAGGATGTCGTATAGCCCATATATTAACTCGGTTGGCAATAAATCTCCCCTTACTCTCCATACTACTTTCTTAAATAGTTCACTATAAAGCCCTAGCCTAATTAAAAACAGCTTTCTCGGCAACACTGGCCTTGATTTCACTTATTTACACATTAACTGCAGCCTCCGTTTGGCCAATCCAGTCTATTCCCTCTACCACGCAGGGCCTTTTATCTGCTCTGGACAGCATTTTCTCTAGCAGATGAAGTAGATGCCGATCGATTTGCTGTCGAGCATGGTAAATTAATAGCAACAAATTGCTGAGGGCCCCATCTCGCTGCTCCACCATGCTTCGGCAGTTTTGCTTTATTTGCTCCATGATGGGCAGCAGTCAGGCCTCTTCAAGTCAATTTCTTCTTAACAACCTGCAATACTTTTCAATGGTGAAAATAGAGCCGTTCCTTGTAAGTCAGAAATCAATATCCTATTGCCCTTAGAAAATGCTAAACAAGCAGTATTGGCAATCCACTTGGTACTAGAGGGTATCAGATATAATGCAAATCCATACTGCTCCCCTCCTCGTAGTTATTACAGTTTGCTAAAAGGTTCCTAATGCCATTTATCATCATTTACCATCGACTACTGCAGCTATGATTATGATATCCTATCAGCTAGCAAAGCCCTTTCATTTCTATCCAATTAATATTTTAGCAGCACTCAAATGCTTGTTGCCGAAGTCTTGTAATAAAATTTACATGGATTGGACTGATTTTTTTTTACTCTGATCTTAAAAAAGTAATTTCATTTTTTTTAATACCCTGCTTCTTAAAAGACAAGAATTTTCTATTAAAAATGATGAAATCCAACATCCTAGCATGTAGATTAGTTCAAAAACGGACACCTAACCAAATTGAGTGACTCGGAATTTATGTACTGTCACTTCCAAAAAACATAATCAAAGTTACAAGTGAATGCTGGATCCTATTTATGCTTTCCATCAGTCCCATTCACAAATATCTGTTGTCTGTAGCCAAATACAGACACTGATTTTAAGTGATAATTACGATTCTGAATTAAAACGTTCAGTAAGCATGTTTGATTACAGCAATTTAAATAAACTGTTTACCATAACATTAAAACAGCCTAATTTCAGAAATTAAACCAAATGACCACCACCAAGTAGCACGAGTATATTAGAAACACAGAGCAGTATGTTAACTATTCATTCACGAACTACCAGACTCTTAGAAACAAATGTTAAAAAAGCAACTTACTAAGAAACGGGCACATTCAGAGCAAACAAATGTTAATACTTACACTAATACTAAAATTTAAAACCGTAGGGAAGTTATCTGTTCACATAGTGACCCAAAAAAACCCAGCTCAATGCCATTTTTTTTTTCAGTGTGTCTGCTTTGAAGCTCTATTGATCCTAGTGCAGAATATCAAAAAATAACTTAGTATTTTAGGCTATAACATCACATGTCACAACATACCCCACACTCGTCTTTAAAAAAAAAAAACACAAATGACTAATTCTACCAGTCTAATGCTATTTACTCAGTTACCAAAATTTAAATTAATTATGTTCTCAAACATAATTGTTAAAAATTGGCAACATTATGCAGGCTTAATTAAGATTAAATCCAATTTACTAAATGTACTTTAATTGGTACTAATTACATTAGCTTTCCTTTCAGAATGACAAATTCCCCATAGGTTTCACTTTAATAGTCTTCTATCAAAATCAACACAGGATGACTGATGATGAGCATCACACGAGGGGTGGGAAAAGAGATGCTCTTCCCCCCGCTTGCTCCCCCCACCAGACACACAGGCACACTCACTGCTGCTGCTCACTGCGCGTTTATCCTTTTATCAATTTGCTAAGTCACAGAGTCATGACTCCATCACAGCCATCATTTTCTGTTCCAGTGAAAAATTTCTCTAAAAATAAATACTCTGTGGCTGGAAGCAGCCAAGAAGAACAGAAGCTTTAACAGAAAAATACACAAAGGTTTCAAATATCAGGGCCACCAATTACTAGGGTACTTCCAAGGACTCCAGGGAGTCCTGCTCTTGAACCCTCTGAGACGCAAATCTAATAAGTGAATAAGCCTAACCTGATCTTGAGAACTAGGCCCAATTACGCCGAAGGGCAACTTCACTGTGTTATTGCCTGCTTTCCATTACAAGGGCATCCAGCAAGTACATCTGGAAAAGAATCTGAGAGGAACCAAGGCTGTCTGCCCAGAAAAACAAATAAAGACAGATATGCCTTCGTGCTAAAGTGAAAAAAAGAAAGAAAATATAATAAGTAGGTGGTTTGCAGGGCTGTCTGTATTTCATAATGTGATAAACTGCCCTCAGGATTTTTGATATGATTGAATTTAGAAAGCTGGGGGGAGAAGGAGAAAAAAAAAGGGTGAATCGCTCAATTTCAGACGAGTAAAATTCAAAGATGGGAGAGGAAGTGAAGTGAATTTAAGGTGGAAGGCTATAAAAGCTTTGCACACATCAAGTAAAGCAATCAACGCTATCTGTGTGATATACCAAATTGGATCCTAATGCTGTGATCATACAGCAAGGTGGGAAATACTTCACAGTTGCTGAAGCAAGAGGAGAAAGGAAAAAAAAAAAACCCACTGTTGCAACAGAAGAGGAGATATGAGATGCATGAAATTGATACCGGATTTAAGAATGATAGTGAGCAAGTTTTTTAGCCGTAGCTAATTTGAATCAACATCTGACAAAATATTTAAGTATTTTGCATGAGAGTACGATACTTAAACTACTAACTTGAACAGACTGAACAGTAATGGGAAAAGGTGTTTAATTAAAACTCAGTCATTTGTAATCTCCACACTTAGTTGTAATTGAGTATTTAATTTCTCTGGAATATCACTGATGACTCGGTTGCCATAATTCTCGACAATGTTTCAAGAAAAGCATTTAGAAATGAAAAGTTAAAAGGGCTTTTGCTATGTTTTTTTCCCCCTTCACTTAAAACAAATTAATTACACATTGCACTTGCAAGCTGATTTTGTCCCACAGAATTTTGTAGGGTCAGTGTAAGCCTACATACAACTACTTGCTATAAAAACAGGGTACCTCTAAATATAAACAAATTTGACTGCAATGTTTGCTTTCAAATGCCTGCAAGAATTTGCTAAATAAGTGGCCTGTAAGGACTCTGGTCTTTGTGAATTGCTGCCCTATCTATCACTTTACTGACTGGTGGGGGAGGTGGGTTCTTTTTGTTTTGCTGTTTTTGGGGTTTTTTTTAAAGGGTCCTGAAACAATCTGGCTATTCATTTGCGAACAGACCCAACGCTTTTTAGAGTCAGTGACGAGTCTTTTCACCAGGACCTGCGACCTGAATCAGGTCCAGAGAGTCACCACACATATACAATCTGATCAGCTGCAAATCATAGCCTTTTCCTCTCAACCATTTGTTAAACACACTTGAGTCTTCATGGTGCCTGTGAAGAGGACATCTGAATTGAACAGGTCGGGGTATATGACTGTAAAACAGGATGTATGTACAAGGTCCCACAGGTTTGGAGCTGCAGGCGCAAAAAGCTTTGAGGCAGGAAATCCCACCGTCTTCATACTTGAATGCCATCTAGCACAAGCAGCCCTAATCAGTACTGTGTCATTGGGATGCTAATGGAATACAAAATATAATAAATAATAAATAACATGAAAAAACATTTGACTTGTATGTCTGCTCTTAACAAGATAAAGAAATCCTATTTCCACAACCCAGAGAAGTTCCAAATCCCTAACTTTGAACAGAAATGCGTACAAACCAATTTTCAGACAGTCTTTCTTCTCCTATCCAACCATTTCTCTATTTCTGCAGTTTACACTCCCCAGCAATGCTGCCGAATTGCTCAACCATTTGCTAAAATGAATTGTTAGTATTAAACTCCACCATAAAAAAAAGTTCCTTCACAGGAAAAGAGGTCAGATGTTTAATTCATTCTCCTCTAGAGAAGGTTAAAAACACACATTACCGAATAAGAAACTGATTTACACTACCATGCTCCATCTGACTAATCTCCTGCTAATCTTGGCCTAAGTGCTAGACTTGAAGGCACAAAACTGAGCATGCTAACATCCTGGCAGAAAGCACATTTACTCTTTCGTGTTTGAGATGCTAAGACACTGATTTTGGACAAAGGTCCAAGCAAGCAGCCTGAGAGAAGGAGAAACATAGCCGTGCATCAATTGCTTTTGTAGCCTCAGCCTAAATCAATCCAGGTGAACCGAAGAGAAGAGGCTCTTCCATATGCAAATGCAAATCCCTTGACACCTAATATGCATTTGTGATATAGCTATGATCCCAAACAGCAAACCTTAAGAGATTCTAGGTCAGACAGAACTGATGGTACAACTCACATACCCATCCCTACTCACATACACCCTCCCTGTGGGGTACAAGACCGCCTGCATACACGGAGATGGCACGTGGAAAATCAAGTGAATAATGCCCAACAGGAAGGCAAGACCATAACCTACCCAGAGCCCATATATACCACAGAGAAGATGGAAGTTCCAAGGCCAGGTTAAGTATAAAAAAATTTCCAGTGCACTCAAGCATGCAATTAAAACAAGTCACACAGAATACCCATCTGTTTTAAGACTGACAGGAGAAATTACACAGAGCATTCTCACAGAAAGCGAATTATCTACCTACCTGTTTATGCATCTCTATATTCAGGCCATAGGACATCTCGTAATACTAAGAAAGAAGAAAATTATTCTATTAGATTTTGCAATTGTGAAAACTATTCCAAAATTCACTTTGACTCAAACATCATCTGTATAAAGACATACAGACCTAAAAACATTTATTGGCCTTGAAGAGCTTCTGGAATTTGAAAGAGCATTTCACAGCAACCTCTTTTTTTTTTTCTTTATCTACATTGCTTCTTGTCAAATTTACAAAGAACAGCCATAAAACAAGGCAAAAAAACCAGACAACAAAAAAAAATCATGAAAAGTAATCACAACCAGAGCTAAAGATTAGAAGCAGAAAAAAAGCCACACAAAAATACTCAAGATTTTATTTCCTAGCACACACAAAAGATGCCAAAAAAACGCCTGAAGTGCTTGAAGCCAGACACACATATAAATCAGCAATGTCTAACAGACCAGTTATTCAATATTTCAAATTAAAAACACAAAAAAGCTCCAATAAAATTTCAGGAATGCAAAAAATAAAAGTATGGAAATTCAGAGCCAAAGCAGATACACTAATCTAAGTATGTCCTGTTGTGCCCAAGAATTGCAGGGAACTCAGTTTTGGTGTGTAATCTTAGTATCAAACAGTCTCCAAGATTTAGGTATATCAGGCATGAAAGAGACAACTGTGAGCCTTAACATTTGCTTGTGCTCTTGGCTAAGAATTTTTCAAGGTTATTTATTCTTATAGCAAATACACGAGCATTATTTGCCATGTACATATGGAAAATGGCTAATCCTTCATTGATGTACAACAGAACAGCTAGCAAGAGCTCCTCTGCAGCGATCATGATCCATTATGCAATTAGGTAGTTAGAGATGTCTTCCTATGCACGTTATTTAACTAGGCGGACCGTAACCACTGAGGAAATCCCTTTCAGGGCCAAGATCCCCACCATTCTGAATTTGGTGAAACAATGAACCAGCCACCCAGATGCAACAGTTCTTCTAGGAAGTAGGGTTTGGGGTTTGTATGCGTACATGTACACTTCTGGCTTACTCTCATCACAGAAATAAAAAATGCTATCCTGAACCATTTTACAGAGATATGGTTGCTGGGAAAAGCCAGCAAAAATGAAAACATCCCCAGGTACACTACAGAACTTGTACACGGCTTTAAAGGGCTGACAAGTAATCTGCTAGCATTTGGAAGATATAGTCCAAATTGCCTAAAAGGTTAAAAAGCAGGTTTCATGCAGAAACTAACTGCTGCAAACAAGTTATAAACCCCTGAAACCAAGGATTTATAATGGAAGCACTGATGCAACCTCAACAACAGCAGTGCTACTATAATCTTTCTGCTCGCCTCCAGCAATCCAAATGTATTTCGGTCTCAATGTACCAAGCTAATAGACATTTTGAATTTGTTATGCAGCTTGCTTACCATGACATAATGTCGCTGCATCTCTGTCTTCTCACTGGCCAGTTTTTCACATTCTAGCTTTAAGCTGTTCAAGACATAAAAAGGAAAAGGCATAGGTACTTCATAACACAAAACTGACACTCTTCTGAACGCAGGGTACTCCCTTTTGCAAGCATTTCTCTAACACACAAACAGAAATATGCATTCCAGCTCTCGCTTGGCCTCTCAGGGTGGGGTTTGTACTTTTCCTCTTTCGAGAGATACTGTGGAACATCCTCATAGCTTAAGCAAACCATATACAATGCACAGAAGAGTATTTTTCTCCGGCAGAAAAAAACCACACAACACTGTTTCACAGAAGTAGCATGACCGGGTTCACACCTATAACACTTCAGCTTGAGAAACCACTTATAAATCCATAATTTGGATTTTGGAGTTTTATTTAAAAGTTTTTAGAAACACCTCTTGCTTTCACTCAACCCACAAAGGAATCAAATGCGTATCACCACTTCAAGGAGCAAAAAGTTGACGGATTTTTTTTTTTTTTGCCATTTCTCATTACAGAATTGCAAGGAAAATACTGCAGGTAATTTAAGGAATACCGTGGTAAACATAAACACCTCCGCTGGTGGCTTTTTTTTGGTTTGTTTTCAGAAGCCCGCAAAGCAATCCTGCCAGAAGTCACTCGTCACTTTGAGGACACAGGGCTCTTCCACCTAAGGATAATGAAACAGCTCGCCGCCTCACTTCCAGGTTATCAGCACTTGACATGTCAATGAAAG